GTGTGCAGGTGAGCTCACCTGGGACAGGTGAGGGTGAGGGGTGTGCAGGTGAGCTCACCTGGGACAGGTGAGGGTGAGGGGTGTGCAGGTGAGCTCACCTGGGACAGGTGAGGGGGGTGAGTGCAGGTGAGCTCACCTGGGACAGGTGAGGGTGAGGGGTGTGCAGGTGAGCTCACCTGGGACAGGTGAGGGGGGTGTGTGTGCAGGTGAGCTCACCTGGGACAGGTGAGGGGGTGAGGGGTGTGCAGGTGAGCCCACACAGGGGTGGTTGTACCGAGGTTTGTCAGCCGTGCCCAGGTGTGTTAGGTGTGTGTCAGCCATTCCCAGGTGTGTCAGGTGTGTGTCAGCCATGCCCAGGTGTGTGTCAGCCGTGCCCAGGTGTGTCCCCAGGTGTGTTAGGTGTGTGTCAGCCGTGCCCAGGTGTGTCAGGTGTGTCAGCCGTTCCCAGGTGTGTCCCCAGCTGTGTCCCCAGCTGTGTCCCCAGCTGTGTCCCCAGGTGTGTCAGCCGTGCCCAGGTGTGTCCCCAGGTGTGTCAGGTGTGTGTCAGCCGTGGCCAGGTGTGTCCCCAGGTGTGTCCCCAGGTGTGTCCCCAGGTGTGTCAGGTGTGTGTCAGCCATTCCCAGGTGTGTCAGGTGTGTGTCAGCCATTCCCAGGTGTGTCAGGTGTGTCAGCCGTGCCCAGGTGTGTGTCAGGTGTGTCCCCAGGTGTGTCCCCAGGTAACCCCACCTGTCCCCCCCCCAGAAGCGCCGCTCCAACCGGCAGGTGAAGCGGAAGAAGTACACGGAGGACCTGGACATCCGCATCACGGACGACGAGGAGGAGGAGGAGCTTGACGTCACCGGGGGGGGCGGGGCGCGGCCCGAGCGGGGGGAGGGGCCCGCCCGGGGGGAGGGGCCCGAGCGGGGGGAGGGGCCCGAGCGGCCGCCCCCGCCCCCCCCCGAGCCCGACGGCGACGCCCTGCTGCCCTCCATGCAGTTCTTCGTGGTCAGTGGCCTTCATCATCACCCTCACCCTCCTCATCCTCACCTTCATCACCCTCATCATCCTCATCCTCATCATCCTCACCTTCATCATCCTCATCCTCATCTTCCTCACCTTCCTCATCATCCTCATCCTCACCTTCATCATCCCCGCCTTCATCATCCTCTTCACCTTCATCATCCTCACCTTCATCACCCTCATCCTCATCATCCTCACCTTCATCATCCTCACCTCCATCATCCTCACCTTCATCATCACCCTCACCCTCCTCATCGCCCTCATCATCCTCCTCACCTTCATCATCCCCGCCTTCATCATCCCCGCCTTCATCATCCTCATCATCCTCATCGTCCTCATCCTCACCTTCATCATCCTCACCTTCATCATCCTCATCGCCCCCACCTTCATCATCCCCACCTTCATCACCCTCATCATCCTCATGACCCTCACCTTCCTCATCATCCTCATCTTCATCATCTTCATCATCCTCATCCTCATGACCCTCACCTTCATCATCCTCATCCTCATCATCCTCATCCTCATCATCCTCACCTTCATCATCCTCACCTTCCTCATCATCCTCATCATCCTCATCCGCATCATCCTCATCCTCATCACCCTCACCTTCATCATCCCCGCCTTCATCATCCTCCTCACCTTCATCATCCTCACCTTCCTCACCCTCACCTTCCTCATCATCCTCATCCTCACCTTCCTCACCCTCACCTTCCTCATCATCCTCATCCTCATCTTCCTCATCCTCACCTTCCTCATCATCCTCATCCTCCTCACCTTCGTCATCTTCACCTTCATCATCTTCATCCTCACCTTCATCATCATCTTTGTCATTTTCATCCTCACCCTCATCCTCATCATCCTCATCCTCACCTTCATCATCCTCATCATCACCCTCACCTTCCCCACCTTTGTCATCCTCACTTTCCTCATCATCTTCATCCTCACCTTCCTCATCCTCATCCTCTCCTTATTCGTCCTCGTCATGCTCGTTTTCATCCTTTCCCTCGTCATCTTCATCATCCTCGCCTTCCTCATCATCCTCTTCCTCGTCATCCTCTCCCTCCTCATCCTCATCCTCACCTTCCTCATCCTCACCTTTATTTGTTTCTTTTTCTTCCTTGTCTTCGTCACCTTCGTCTTCCTCGTCCTTCTTCTTTTCATCCTGGCCTTCATCATTTTCACCTTCCTCATCCTCATCGTGCTCACCTTCATCATCCTCACCTTTGTTTTTTCACCGTCCTCATCCTCGTCATCTTCATCGTCATCCCCGCCCCCATCATCCTCCTCACCTTCATCCC